GAAATGTGATTTTCTTACTACTCCAATTGCTTAAATTTATAAACTATTTCTATTTTTTTCTATTTTCATTTTTATACGTGATTATATTTTCTTTCATGCGCAATTATAAAACACATTGTCTTTACTTTTTTCCTTATGTACTTATAATTCTTTTCTTTTGTCTTTTTATTGGTTGACATAAGCCCCTTTCATTTTCCTACATGAGTGTAGATGTGCAACTTTGAGATATGTTTAGATGCATAGCACCTAAATTAAGCAAGATTTTTGAACGAATCTTAAGCTTTTGGATATTTATAATGATTGAGATGTAAAGACTATTTTAATTCTTATTTAATACGACATCCTAATACATATATTACTATTGGTGGCTTACATCGTACATTGGTTATAATCTAGGACATACCATGAGTAAGAAATCGCTATTAAACCTCGAATTAATCGGATTTTTGGGCATGATACTATACTGTAACCCTTGATGAGTGAACCCTAGGTCTTAGATACCAAAATCACATAGCCTAACCCCTAAGATTGTGCACGTAATTTTTTGCATATATTTTGACGAATCATGACCGTCGGTTTTTGTTTTTAATTAATTGATCTTAGTATATGAGATTTATAGAATCAAGACCTAGATTTTAATCTCTCGCGGTTTGGATATAGTACCTGATGCCAAACTCTGGTCAATTCAAGGTCTAGATATCATTTTCTTACTACTCAAGGTATGTCATACCTTTGATTTTACCCAAGGTACGATAGAACCATACATTACTATTACTATTTTTAGTAACCAGTTATACTCGCCGGATAATCCCACTCATAAGATATACCCGATATGTTGTATCTCATTCAGTCAAATAAACATCCATTCATCACCACATGCCATAGTACACATGCATCATCTCAAACTCAAGGAATTCATATATTCACAACATAAGGACCATCAAACAGTCTCTTGATAACTCATTGTATAAATATATATTCACCAAGTATCACATCATACTGGCATCACCATGTAACCATGTCCCAACATAGCAAAACATCACACCATCTAATGGTAAATCATTGTATAAAACACCATAGAAAACCATCACATAACCATCATCATCGACACACACACTTCGTATATCACATCGTAGAAAGTTATCACTTAACCACATCATAGTGATCTTTATACAAGGATTCAATCACATGCATGGTTAGGTTGATTCAATGACCATTTACTTCTTAATTTGCCAAGTCATACACTCCTCGGACAGTACAGTAGATGTCATGTATTCCACATCGGATCGTACCTATATTGGTGTCCTGTAAATCCACTGCGGGATCATACCCTGACCGGTATCCTATATAACAGCACGAGACATACCCGGACCGATGTCCCGTAAAACCAACGCGGGATCATACCTTCACCGATGTCCTGTAAATTCATCTATTGTACTTATTGCACAACAGAGAGCCTTTATATTTGTATTCAGTTATCAAACAATTTCCGTTACAGTTAGTCACACATTTAATATTGGATGATAATGTGACGCGAAGCCAAAGTGTCTCTATAACTAACATTTTCTTTTGATATCTTTCATAAAATGTTGACGGTAATATAGAAGCATATCAGCATACTTTGGTTGTACTTTAATATAATGGTGGAAAAAGCTAGCGAACACTGGAGGTGTAATATACACCTTCATTCACATCAATTAGTTGTACTTTAATATATTTTTTCAAATAAGAATCGTTGGTTATTATTTTTGCATTAAATGAATCATAAGATTTGAATTAGAGAATTAGAGACTGAAGTTCACCCATTAGAGACTATGATATAGTATCATGTCCAAACTTCGTTAATACATTATCTAAATATCAAAACTCGATAGGAGTACGGTAAGGTGGCGTACGCTAGCTTAATCCACGTACAACTTACGAAGTTGAAAATGATTGGTGAATCAAAGATCAGATGGTCATGAATAGGGATGCCAATCCAACCCGTAACCATGGGTACCCTACCTGACCGTAACCGGTCAACAAGGATAATTACCCGCTTTGACGGGTTAAGGGGCGGGTACGGGTAATACCCGGTTTCAAAATAAAGGGTAGGGTACGGGTATGGTAATTGATAATACCCGCTCCGTTATACCCGCCCCGCCTAACCAAAGGGTCAATTTCCCTTGAGAAATTTAGATTAGCTTGAGAAATTGAGTTTAGCTACCATTATTGATGATGAAGATGTAGACGATTATTATGTTTGTGTGGATTGTAGAAGCAAGAACAATTATTATGTGTTTGCTATTTTTATTTGTGTGGATTATTGAAGCTCGAACAGTTACAAGTATTGAGATTTTTTTTTATAAAGAAGTATTGAGAATTTTTAATGGACAACAGAATGTATGTGCATATATGTGTATAAGTTCATAGTTTAGGATTCGTACCCATGGTTACCCGAATACCCGTGGTTACCCGGTGGGTAGGGTATGGTTATATAATTTTCATACCCGGTGGTTATTTGATCGGGTATTTTAAAAAGCTCTACCCGGCGAATTAGGAGTTGGTATAGGGTAAACCCGCACCTGACCCTACCCATTGCCATCCCTAGTCATGAATACTATTTCCAAGCGGTGATGAAGTTACAACGTTGTTTGGCATTATTGTTGATCATGCTTAAAACATGGATCATATTAGATGAAACACGGATAAAATATAACAATAATAAATAAATATGAAAAGTAGGAATCCGATACCATTAGAAGAAATTATAGATAAAAGAAAAAAAAGTACACATATGAAACTTGCCGCCCATCAGGCGGGCACAAAACTAGTAATATACAATGACCAAGTATGTAATATTAGCCGCTTTATTCGATCAGATCATTTTGTCGTGATAGTGTCGGCACACGAACTTTTTCCTCAATTAATATTTAAGCCGTTCAACTTTAACTTTGGTAGGAATTTGAACTTTCAACAAACAAGATGCTGTAATTCTTCGAGGCTTAACTACTGCCATTGGAAATTTTATGTGTGACGTGTTAGCTAGAACGTAAAAGTTAAACTTCGCTTGGAAATTCAGTAGATGTATTTATGTTTGGAAATTAGTACGGTATTGGTGTCTCGATATCAAATACTAAAATTTTGACTATTGAATTGTACCTTAAAATTTATTTCAATCTCAATTCATAAGAAATTGGTATCATAATCCTTAAATATTTCGATATCTCAATCGGCAGTATCGACTACAAAATTGATTATCATTGCAATTAATCATTAAATACATAAATAATTAATAATGGTTGGAACACTGCTAATCCCGAGTATTTTATACAATGTAAATTTTTAGATTTAACTTCGTGATGAGAATTAAAGGTGATAGAAGTCTAATAAAAACTAATGGAGGGCCTCGTTGATTGAAATCATTCAAATTTTCATTGAACTTACTCATTACAGGTTCCTATTTAGAGCAAAGAGGCTAGGTAAGGAGTCTCGAGTTCGTGTAGCACAAGGATATGGAAAGGAAAACGGAGATAGTGAGATCTAAATTTCTTGTTGTTGGTAATCTTTAATTCGAGTAGTGGAGGCTGAGAGATGACTAATTAATGAGAGTGTCTACTTTTTGGTATTATGATTAACAAAAGATTAAGTGACAGACGAGAGCGACTTAAATGAGAAAATCAAAATTGGGTTGGGTAGGGGTTTCAGTGTGAGTTGTCAAAGAGAGAGAAAGGACAAAAGTTTGTGCTATATTTCATTGATTTTTTTAATTATGTATATTTCATTAATTTTTAATTCTTGTTTTGCCCCATTATTTCTGTATATGCATATTACAATCCTGTAATCTCGTATACCGTATAACATTCCAAATTGAATCTCAACTCTAAAAATAAATTCGGATTCAACAATATCAAATAATGATAAATTCATTAAACTATATTCGGTATATTCCATATATTGATAAATTCATAATGATATTCGATATATTCCAAATATTGATATTGTTGCGTATATTAATTACTTAGTCAAAAGTAATTAATTCCTTGTTCTCCAAGTCCCTTGTTTTCATGTTCTGGGAAAAGAAGGGACTTGGTTGTAGGGATGGCAATGTGTAGGGTCGGGTGCGGGTTTACTCTATACCAACTCCTAACTCGCCGGGTAGAGCTTTTTAAAATACCTGATCAAATAACCACCGGGTATGAAAATTATATAACCATACCCTACCCACCGGGTAACCACGGGTATTCGGGTAACCATGGGTATGAATCCTAAACTATGAACTTATACACATATATGCACATACATTCTGTTGTCCATTAAAAATTCTCAATACTTCTTTATAAAAAAAAATCTCAATACTTGTAACTGTTCGAGCTTCAATAATCCACACAAATAAAAATAGCAAACACATAATAATTGTTCTTGCTTCTACAATCCACACAAACATAATAATCGTCTACATCTTCATCATCAATAATGGTAGCTAAACTCAATTTCTCAAGCTAATCTAAATTTCTCAAGGGAAATTGACCCTTTGGGTTAGGCGGGGCGGGTATAACGGAGCGGGTATTATCAATTACCATACCCGTATCCTACCCTTTATTTTGAAACCGGGTATTACCCGTACCCGCCCCTTAACCCGTCAAAGCGGGTAATTATCCTTGTTGACCGGTTACGGTCAGGTAGGGTACCCATGGTTACGGGTTGGATTGACATCCCTACTTGGTTGTCATTAGGGTTTTAACCCTAAGCCTTTCTCTATATAAGGCATAGCGACGAACCTGTCGTAAGCAAGCCGTCACAATATAGTCCTATAATAAAATCGTCAGCTGTGAGCTCTTCCGACCTCACCGTGTATTAGTCTCGATCAATCAATCGATCGAGGATACCATATAAAATTCCCTTGTCTCGTGTTTATTTTTGATTCCGTGTTATCAAATTCTTCATGGTATTAGAGCTGGTTTGGCCAAGTGATCATGTGTTCGAGGATATACCACGTTAACTTACAAGTTTTACGAGTATTGTTATTTCATATAAGTGATTACTCATTTAATTACCAGTAATGATTCTGATTTATATCAAAGCAAACGATCGATGAGAATAGCTAGTTATATTTCATCGACAAAATATTACCAAAGTACAAGCCGCCTAATGTAGGGCTGTAACTAGCCGACGGCTACGAGGCCAAAAGCAAAGAGCTGCAAACTATATCACATTACAAACGAGTACACATAAAGGCTAAAGCCTAAACGCAGAGACAATATTCAACATACGACCTACAGTAGCAGTACTACTACTGCACCATCTCTTTATTTTGCTTGTACGAACCACATTACCGACTTCTCTAATACAGAACCTTAGTTGGCAGACGGAGGAGGGAACTTGCGGTGACGCGGCTTCTCGTGTTTGGGCTTCTCGTGATCATGATGATGACGGCCAGAGCCCTTCTCACCCTTACCGCTTCCTCTGCCGGAGTAGTGATCCTCCACAGCCACAACCTCCTCCTCCGCCGCCGCAAACAACCGCCTCATTCCTCCTCCGGGGTGGTGGTGCTTCCCTCCCTCCTTGGGCGGACGGGGGTGGTTGTGCTCGTGGCGTGGCTTGTGCTCCGGCGAGGGCTTCTCCCCCGTACCGCGGCCTCCACGGTGATCCTCTCCCGCCTCAACAACATTGCTGTCCTCCTCTTCCTCCTCTAACAGGAGGTGACCGTGTCCGTGTCCCGGCCCGTGTCCGTGGCCATGGTGGGACTTGTGAGGCTTGTTTCTCCCGAACCTGTCGAGCTCGTGGTCGTGGTCGGCGACCGAGGGAGTTGCCGCAGAGAGGAGGATGGCGACTCCGAGGAGTAGGAAAACTGTCAAGTATTTGCAAGACATTGTTGGAGTGTTTGAGTAGTGTGGTGGTGGTGATGAAGCTTTGCATGGATTTGGGTTCTGATTTATAGACTTTGAGAAGACCTCCAACGTCACCGCCGACGTCACGCTAATTTGGCTTTTTGTACACCTTTTATCTCTACTCGTTTGCGAGTTGGGGTCCATCGAGTTGGAAAATTTGACTTTGATGCATGAGCGGAGTCATGCACGTGAAAGTGATACTGCTAGTCGATAGATATCTATTCTCTGGTAAAGGACCTTTGGTTCATATCTTTGTACTATTTAGTATTTTTACCATATGCCTCTTTGTCCTGCGTTCAAACTAGCTAGTGTTATGCTTTAGTGATTTCGTACCAAACAAAGAACTAGCTAGCTAGTGTTGTGCTTTAGGCCTTCTCCAATTCCATTGGTTAATCCCTATTTAGAAAAACATATATATCTCGCCACTTAATCCAAGATAACTACGAGTAAAAGTCGATTGGTAGGTATGTAAATCATCTACAGAGTTTTGAAATATATTGTTCCATGGGAGATCTCTGCTCGCCAAAACGGTGTCGCTCCTTGCTTGCCAAAACGGTGTCGTTCCATCAAGACTACACAAAGCCGCGTTTTGACCATCTCTCCAAGTTTCGTCCTTCAAAGTCTTCTTCCTTCTCGAGCTCTTCATTTCGCAGACCTCTGCTCCCCACACAAGAAACCAGGTCCACGACCACCACTTCTATTCTTCGCAGTAATGATCTCTACAATGATCAACATGTAGGAAACGAGTCTGAGGTCTGCACAACGGTCACTTTGCGATTTCTCCTATAAATAGGAATCAATCGTTGTATTTTGAACTTGACAGTTGAGAGCAAGTGTGGTTGGGAATCTACTTTGTTCTTCATGGGTCCGTTCTTGTACTCACTTCGATAGGTCAATCACAGGGTGTGTAAACTGGGTGATTGAACCTTGGGAAGTAGGGGTTTGAGTGTTTCATTTCTTTTTCTAAGGGCCAAGCTACTTGGCTTGGCTAGGGTTCTTGTTTTTGCAAAGTGTAATATTTCAAATTCAATAAATTTTCGAATTTTCTTTTCACTCTGATTCCACAATTGGTATCAGAGCTTACTCTTTGAAGGATTTATCATCACCAAAGAGAGTTGCTCAGGATGTCTGGATCCTCATCAGCTGCAATCTCTTATTCTGCGAATACAAATCCACCTTGGTTTGATGGAACAGATTATACAGTCTGGAAAAAGAGAATGCGAATTTACCTTCGTGGAGTTGATGGAGAACTATGGGCAGTTGTGAGGAAAGGACCTGTTCGTATGGAAGATGAAGATGAAGAAGAGTGGAAAGAAGAGCAGAAGATATCATCACAACTCGATTCAAGAGCTATGCACATACTGTTTTCAGCTCTCTGCCCTGAAGAACGAAGTCAAGTTGCTCAATGCGAGATATGGGAGAAGATTTTGAAAAAGAATTTGCTCTTGTAAGTAGAAAATTTCATCGCATGCTCAAAATGAAAAATGACTTTCAAGCAAAAAGAGCATATCGTGACTCTAGACACTTTAACAATCAATTTCCTGAACATAAGAAAGAAAGGGAAGAAATTGAAAGAGTTCCTACTAAAACAAATGAAAGATACACATCATACAGACCATATCTAAATAAAAGCACTCCAAGGTCGTATGATAGATCTTCTGAAGGTCGAGAAAGGTTTAAAATTGATAAGGAAGACCACAGGTCTTCCAGTGAAAAATATCTAACCATTTGCTATAAGTGTGGCAAGACAGGGCATATTCGATCTAAGTGTCCTGTAGGAAGCAGAGCTAAGGAGAAGGCACTGGCAGCTTCATGGAGTGACTTTAGCTCTGAAGAAGAACAAGAAGTCAAAAATCTTGCTTATATGGCCTTTGCAACCAACAGTGAGCTCGATCATCAGTCTTCAAGCAGCAATGACCAATTGACTCCGTCGTGCTATCAGGTAATCAATGACTCTGAATCATATGGAGATAATGACACAGATACCATTTTTGAATCAAAAGCTGATTTTCTTAACGCCCTAACAAACTTGCAAGATGAATGTAAAAGACTTAAAAGCAAGTACTGTTTGCTTATGATTGATAATCAGGCTTTAAAAAGGGAAATCCTTATACTAAACAAATCATTAAGCTTTCAAAGTGAAAAACATGAAAAACTGAATAAGCAGATATTTGATCTTACAGATGAAAATCAGAGGCTAAATAATCTACTTAAAGCAAAACCAAGTTTGTCCACACAAAATCACAATATGATTATGTCAAAACTTAACACTAATACTCTTTCTCGCAAATATTACACTAAACAAGATAAAAATATCTATCCTCAGGACAGAAAATACCTGAAATATCATGTTATCTATACATGTACTTATTGCAAGAGAAAAGGCCACTTAGCAAAATTATGCTATGATTTGCAGGATCTAAGAAAACCTGGTACATCCAAAACATTTTGGGTACCAAAATGTACTAACCTATGATTGATTGCAGAGTTTGGGAGAAAATGAGAACATATGATTTCTGGACAGTAGTTGCTCCCACCACATGACAGGTAAAAAGGAACTGTTTTCTTCCTTAAAGTATAAGAAAGGTGGTAAGGTAGTATTTGGAGATGATCGAGTAGGAATAATAATGGGAAGTGGAACTGTTGGTAAGAACCCTCTCCCTACTATTAGTGATGTTTTATTTGTTAAGGGTTTGAAACATAATCTTCTCTCAATAAGTCGATTGCGTTGCACTGAAAACATAGTTATATTTGAATCAGACTCCTGTCAGATCATAAGGATAAAAGACAATAAACTGTTATTTAGTGGAACTAAGAAAAATGATATGCATGTTGTTAATCTGAACTGTCTGAAAACTTTTAATGAGACATGCTTTCAAGCCAGTTTATATGATACTGAAATGCTTTGGCATAGAAAACTAGGACATGTCTGCCTGTCAAAATTATCTAAGCTATCTAGGATGAATTCAGCCAGAGGGATTCCTACTTTAAAAGAAAATTCTAAGTTCTTCTGTGATGCTTGTGTAGGAGGTAAACTAGCTAAGAAAAGCTTTAAATCTAAGAAAGACATAACCACCTCTGCACCTTTTGAATTAATCCATATGGATCTATTTGGACCTACTAACGTGGCTAGTCTTGGAGGTAAGTCCTATGGTTTTGTGTTAGTTGATGATTTCTCTAGATATACATGGGTTTACCATCTTGCATCGAAAGATGAAGCCTTTGGTAGCTTCAGAATGTTTGTGAATCGAATACTAAATGAATCTGAGAAGGGAATTAAATCCATTCGAAGTGATAATGGGGGAGAGTTCATCTCAGATCAATTTGGGGAGTTATGCAATGAGAGAGGGATTAACCATACCTTTTCTGCTTCCAGAACACCCCCAACAAAATGGTGTTGTAGAAAGAAAGAATAGAACCATAATTGAAGCTGCTAGGACAATGCTATTAGAATATGGTACACCAAAAGTTTTCTGGGGAGAAGCTGTAATGACAGTAGTTTATGTAATCAACAGAGTACTTATTAGAAAGACTTTAAATAAGACCTCATATGAAATCTTAAAACAGAAAACACCAAACTTGGGATATTTTCACCCTTTCGGGTGTAAATGCTTCATTTTAAACACAAAAGATCATCTCTACAAATTCGATGCTAAATCAGATCAGGCTATATTCCTAGAGTACTCAACCAAAGGCCAGGCGTATAGAGTATACAACCTCAGATCCAAAAGAGTTGAGGAATCTGTATTTGTGAAATTCGATGAATCTATGGGTACTAATAAGGCATCCGCCGAAAGCATAGATTTCCTGTTTCCTGTTTCTGCAGAAGAACTAAACATCGGGGGAACAGAGGTCTCAAATGAATTACAAGCAAGCAAATGTGAACCAGGCAACGAATTGGAAAAGGAAAAAGAGGCTCCTGCACACATCCAAAAACGACATCCTCCCTCGCAAATCATAGGACAACTTAAGGATGGATTACACACCAGAGGTAAGTATCAACTAGGTCAGTATGCTCTTGTCTCAATACTAGAACCTAGAAACTACAAGGAAGCACTCACTGATGATGAATGGTTGTGTGCTATGCTAGAAGAATTACTTCAATTTGCTAGATTACATGTCTGGGAACTTGTTCCTCGTCCATTAGATTGTTTAATTATAGGAACAAAGTGGGTTTTCAGAAATAAAATTGATGAAGAAGGTCAAGTAATTAAAAACAAAGCCAGATTAGTTGCACAGGGTTACTTACAGGAAGAAGGGATTGACTTTGAAGAATCCTTTGCACCTGTTGCACGTATTGAATCCATCAGAATGCTCTGTGCCTATGCTTGCTATATGAAAGTTCCCCTATATAAAATGGACGTAAAAAGTGCTTTCTAGAGTGGAGAAATAAAAGAAGAAGTATATGTAAGTCAACCACCTGGTTTTATTGACCATAAAAATCCTGACCATGTTTACAAACTGTCAAAAGCCTTGTATGGTTTAAAACAAGCACCTAGGGTATGGTATGAAAAATTATCCACATTCCTGAAAAACGAAGGCTTCTGTCAAGGAAATGTTGACAAAACTTTGTTTATTAAAAGGGAGAATTCAGACACTCTAATTGTGCAAATATATGTTGATGACATTGTATTTGGTTCAATAAAACCCTCCATGAGCACAAAATTCTGTGAAAGCATGAAATCAGAATTTGAAATGAGTATGATGGGAGAATTGTCACACTTCCTAGGTTTACAGATCAAACAAAGTCTGGAATTTTCATTAATCAATCTAGTTACACTGAAGCCATGCTTAAAAAATTTGAAATGAACTCTGTCAATGAAAGTCTAACCCATATGGCTACAAATCTAAAGTTAGACAAAGATGAAGGAGGGGTAGCAGTTTGTGAGAAAAAATACAGAGGAATGATTGGTTCTCTCCTTTATTTAATAGCCAGCAGACCTAATATT